AAAAAAAAAAAAAGAAAAGAAAAGAACAGAAAAAAGAAAATAAACAATCCGAGTCGACCTTCTTCCTTAAAAAATTCATTTTCCCTAATTCACGCTCGGAGGGAGTGGCTCGGAAGAAGATTAGCCCCCGTGAGAGGTTCGAAGATCAAGGATCGCGGCCCTAAGATCAACCTGCACGGTTCGAAGATCAAGGACCGCCGCTTGCAAGCAATCAGGAAGGGAGCATGAAACCGGAGGATTCACGAACGAGGTCGTTGAGCAGTCGTTAAAATATCAGATAGCAGCTGTGACCACGATTCATCGTGCTGGTTGATCGTTCGCACAAGGTAAAAGATCGAAATTATCATTGAATTGGGATCACTGACCATTGAATTAGGATCGTTTGCAATTCTCGGGGGTACGTAGGCGTGCGATGGTATTCGAACGGTTCTGGATTACTGCAAATTTATAAACTAATAACTCGAATGCAATTTTCTAATTTAATTGTACACCCGCGATGGATAAAATAGTGTAAACGAAAGATTGAGTCATTAAATTCAGTTAGTGTGTTATACTGTATATTAATATACAGTATAAATAATATATATTATTATCGTATTATATAATCAATAATTGAAGGTGACTGAAAATTAATGTTGCAAAGGCGGTGATTTCAAGTATGCCGGTTCGATGTTGAAACACGTGTTTTTCGTCACATTCAAAAAGTATTTTATAAATTTTACAAAGTGTCAGCTATTTTTTTAAACACAAATTCGGATAAATATAGCAAAACATTCGATCGCAATTAGTTGTAGTAGGATATTACATAGAAAATTAAAAAATGTTATTGTATTATAAGAAAAATGATATTAATGTTATAAGAAATAAATTATAAATATATTTATATTGTAAGAATAATAATATTTTCTTATAATACGAGAAATATTCGTGGACTGTGACGAAAATACCAATCTTTCGATGGAAGATCTATTTGCACCAGCTAATAGTTTGCTGTCGATCAAATTACACACTATCGTAAATTTGCAACTGTCGTAATTAAATTTCACTCGAGACACGTGAGATCCCGCGGATGATCCCAGTTCGATGGTCAAAGAGATAGTCCATTTTACCTAGCTCGTAATCTGACGATCACGATTCTCGGCAGAAGGACACGAGGAAGTTCGTCGTGCGATTTCAACGATCGCCTGTATAGTTTCCTCGGACCCGGAAGAAGGACCAAAACCACACCGTCGGTTCGATCTTGTTCGAAGTTGATCACCGACTAAGATCCATTTAGAATCTCTCTTCACGAACTGAGAGAAAGAAAGAGAGACAGAGAGAGAGAGAGAGAGAAAGAGAGAGAGAGTCGTCTTTGCCCGACGATTGATCAATCTTGCGAGGGTGGGGACGATAAAGGGTGGGGTAATTTGGGAAGGTTTGACGATCAGCTTGACGATAGTACAGTCACTGCTGAGGCAAGAAGATGGAGATGAGGTGCTTGCTGATGATCGTCGTGTTCCTTTGCGCCGCAATGTCGCTGGCTTGTTGCCAGTCAAATGGAATTTCGTCCAGGACGAGTATCGGTGATGATAACGACGAGATTAGGAGGAGATACGAGGCTGATTACACGGACAGGAGCAACGAGGAGACTATGCTCGAGAATCACGAGACGGACCTGGACTCGGACGATCCGTTCTACGAGCGGATCGTCTCTTACAGGAGCAACAGGGCCATCGATGTTTTCAGGTACAGTAAAGATCCCGTTCATACGGAATTTGCCCTCCGATTAACCGGCAAACCGTTTCCTCGAATCATATTTGCAAGAAGATCGCGGATCGAGGCACCGAGTAACGCTATACTTCGCCACCGGGAAACCGTATTTTGGCCGTAATTACATGCACACGTAGCGGATATTCACGCTCGATTATCTCGAGAACCTCGAATGGGAGAAATGTTATTATTCTGTATTTTTTTTTTTTTTTTTATTGAAAGACTCCCTTAAACCCTTGCGCTGGCAACTGGCTCGCGGACCTTAACGAGTGACCAACAAACCGTATACTATAAATAATTCGTCGCTTTCTTTTTGACCTCGTAGCTGGATAGAAATTACCAAGAAGAAATAAATTTATTATTTGTAGGTTATATTTAAATATACTTAAAACTGAGAAAATGTTGCAATTTTGGGATGAAAGATCATTCCAGCGCAAGAGGTTAATCATTCTTCTTCTGCGTCCGGCTAATACATTGACTCGAGACACTGTTCTTTATTTTACACTGCCCAACTCTAACAGATTACGGGTCTAGATATCGTTCGTGTAAAAACAAAATTTTAAATGACATGACAATTTCGTTGACAATTTTGTGATTAAAGGCTAATATTGTAAAAGTGCAACGAGCGTGAAGTCGCAACGTGTGCGCACGATGAGCGCGAATCTCAGAATTTCGTGTGGGAATTGTCAACGAAGCATAATTATGATAGACGGATCGTACAGCCACTAAAAACGTTGGGAACATGCAGGAAGACTTAAACCCATAGTTTGCAACCACGATGAAAGCAACAAGTCATTAGAAGTCGCTGATCGAAAGGCGATGTCGGATGTAGGTACCGTCCATGTGTGAGGCTCCAGCGAGTTAAAATAAATCAAACGATGCAAAACCGCTACATGAACTATGGGAGAGGCTGCGAGGTATATACGTGTGCGTCGAGAAAAGCCGCGTTGCTTAAGAAGAGGCTCACTAGCTATTCACGTGGCGAATGGAGCAGATATTCACGGGGCACGTGAATATTTTATGGTAGTCGTAGATAAATTAGGCGAAATGGACGTGACAATTTGTAAAGATTCGCTAAATGCAATGCTAGGTGGTGATACCTACGCGATACGTGTGAGAATTTCGCTAGACGCAACGCGGCGATTGAACGAGCAAGGATGAAGAAGCAAAAGAATGAAAGAAGACGAGAGACTTGTAAGTCTCAGTATAAATGTATAAATACTAAAAGATTATCGATAAAATGTTCTCAATTGTGACAAGTCGGAGCACAAAACCCCCTAGAGAAGAGATCGTAGATCTTGTAGCTAATAGATCACGTGCAAGACATGTTTATGCGAATCTTGCGGAGAGACCAATGACACATGGACCCAGTACATGACAATTGGTGCTTAATGGCTGCGCCACACACTTGTGCAAGGATAAGGAGAAACTTGTTGAATTATACCCATCATCTAATCGCAGGAAGTTAAACTTGGCGAGTCGTATGTCACATGTCCGCTGATGTCATCCAAACTAGTTTGAATAATGATATCGAAAATGTAGAATTACTCTGTACGTTTCTAATCTCATGGTAAATCTAGTAAATCGATCGTAAGAGACGGCACGGTAATATTTTTTTATAAAAACGGTAAAGTGGTAATGGGGGAGAAAAAATGGAAGATAAAAGGAATCGATACAGTTGGAAAAGGGAATGTTTAAAAAGATTTTAAAATTTTAATGCGGCAAGTCTCGGACTTTCGCAGACGCGCGATTATTTATGGCAGATGTGATGGAACAGTTATAAAAAATGTAACAGTCCTTCGAAAAGCGAAACTTTCTGACTTCGAATGACCACGATTCCGAGATGAATGCACGAAAAATTCAAAGGCTGGCTTGACAAATGGAAATCGATATTTACATAGCGTGTAAAATCGTTAACAATAAAATGCGATGTACTAAGAGGCAGATATTCCGTGAAATATACTATAATCTACTTCTAAAGCAAGATGAAAAAAAGTATTGAATGTAAAGCTATTATATTTCACACCTCACGTTCCTTTTTGAGGCGATAGTTTTCTAATAAAATCAGTGTGGTAGATGAAGCATGCGCTTCGCTCGCTACCATGCGGCGTGAAGTGACTCTGTGTGAATTAGGCCCAACGTGGCTTGCTTGCAACAAATTGCCGCAGTAGCGGTCTTTTGGAAGAACAAAGATACAAAATTCTTTTATTAAAAAAAAAAAAGTATTGAAGATCTTGCGATTTAAACCTACAGTATGGTTTAAACCCTATGTATTACATAGTTACCAAAGAGATAATGGACTGTTTATCACAATATACGTAGATGATATTATAATAGTATCAAATGACCATGAGTGGGAGTAGAAATGTAAAGACTGAATTAGCCAAAGATTTTGATATAAAAGATAAAATCCTAGCAAAACTAGGTTATTAATATTAAATAAAATGCGTAAGGGACACATGTGGACGGACTATTTAGAATATAATTATATAATTATGTATAATATATAGTATATATATTTATATAATTATATGTAATATATTCTAAATATGGGACGAAAAAAATATATTTTAAAAAATTTCAAAATGAACGGTTGTCATCCAGTATGCACATCGATAAAGTAGGATTTGAGAAAGGTGACGGTATGGAGAACCAGAGGAGGCCTAATTGAGAACTAATCCCTAATCCCTAGGCTCTGATATCGCTCGTGCAGTAAGCGTTCTAATTCAATGCAACAATCGTAACGGACAGATTCAGCTGAAAGATATCGAGATCTGTTGAAAGAACATGCGATCATGGGATTATTTTCACAAAAGCAGATACCGAGATACTGATTGGGGAAAAGGTGTACGTTAGACAGACGATCATACATCTTTACTCTGTCAAATGGTTCCAATCAGCTGGAGATTACATAGTCAAACAAGTCGCTCTCTCTTCGACCGGAGCATGCGTCGCGCATATTAGCAATTAGGCTTAAGTAGCCTTACTAATGTTGCAGTCTGCAACGGGAACAAAGCAGCGCAATTGTTATCGAAAAAAACGCGACCGTACATCCACGCATATAGAATTTAGGTTTCATTTTACGAAGCATATATAGATATTAAGTTTCATTTTATAAGAGAGATTTCGTTTCATTTGAGCTTATTATATATGTCGACGGATAGAATGCCAGAGGGAGCGGATGTACTTGCTGAACCTTTATCTAAAGGATAAGCATTATTTTCGTTTAAATGACACGGGTATTCGAGAGATTGTGGCAATTCGCGCGAAAGGATGACGTGGCGATATATTAATTTGAAACAGTATTTATTTTTTTTTTTTTATTTGACATTGGGTGCTATATGTCTAACATTTGTTTTCACTATAACACGACAAAAATAAATAATAGCGAAATAATTAGAGTTTTTGTAGTAACGAGTCGTGATAATGCATCGAGAATAAAGTAGAGGATTAATTTCGTTCTCGATTTTACGAAAATTATTACACCCTTCGGAAGAATTGTTCGCTATTCGCGATTCGATTCGAAAACTTTCTGCAACATGTGTTTCACTTTCAAATACGTGTCTACGTCAAACGCTTGATTGATTTCAGCGGCAACCGTGCGAGCAACATGACTATTGCAAGATTAGTTGCGGATCAAGACAGCATTGCTGCAATATTTAAGAATTATATAACTCGCGTTAAGAAACTTTGTCCTACAATAGATATGTAGATATCCTGCGTGTAGATGCACGCATTCGCAAACGAATTTAGAAATTAACGAGTAAGTAGCACACATTCTGATTCACGGATTTCGCCAAACGCGGTAAGCGCTCACGTACGATAGAAAAAAAAAAAAAAGAAAGAACGTGAATCTTCTTCGACCAATCCAAACGCTCATGAAACCTTCGTTTTAAACGTTCAAACGAATCTCGATCACGGACTCTTTCTCACGAGCAATCTCGAGGCTAATTTGTTCCCCCGAATGATAACAGGTCGACGGAAGCCAACACGAAACTGACCGAACAACCAGGCCAGATGCCGAATCTCCCCAAATCGAGCACGAAAGCAACCGAGACGGTGGTCCGCGAGAAGGGTCGGCGACGTGTCGTCAACAAGAACGTGATGATCGGCGACGGGATTTGCCAGAGCATCGACATCCGGAATAGCGCGTCCGCTTTTGGAATTCTGAAGGATTGCCGCGTGATCGAGGGCTTCCTGCAGATCGTCCTTATCGAGAATAACTCCGAGAGGGACTTCCAACCGATTAGCTTCCCGAAACTTCGCGAGATCACTGGATATATACTTCTTTATCGCGTGAACGGATTGAAGAGCCTCAGCAACCTGTTCCCGAACCTCGAGGTGATCCGAGGAAACATCTTGTTGACTGATTACGCGTTCATGGTGTACGAGATGCAGAATCTACAAGAGGTGAGCATTAACGGGACTCGGATTGGGTCGCTGAAAATTTTATCAATTCTTTTTCTTTTGGGGGGGGGGGGAGGGAGATCTTTTGAAATTACCAAACGTTCAAAAACATATGAGAAAATCAAGAATGCATTCGTCTTTGACCCCTTGCGCTGGCGACTGGTTGCGCGGACCATAACGAGTGACCAAACCGTATACAATAATTCGTCGCTTTCTTTTTGACTTCGTAGCTGGATGAAGAAATGACTAAGAAGCAATAAATTTATTATTTATTTGTAGGTTATATTTTGTATACTCAAAACTGAGAAAATGTCGCAATTTGAGACAAATTGGGCCATTCCAGCGCAAGAGGTTAAAAAACATACACGTCTATCGATGTGTTTATTTAACATATCGTAATATCGTTGAACCTCGTGATAGATTCAACCCTCGCGAACCTTTCGAATCAAACTGGTCATTTTATTGTTGATTACTCTGGCACGAACTAATTACGAAAGTTTAATTAATTATCAACCTAAAGATTGACTGAAAATTGAGGCGTCTCTTGTCTGCTTGGCCTTTCAATTTTAGGATTGAATTTCGGTGCCAAGTAACGTAGCTGCGGCTCAAATTCTCAAGTCTCATCGTAAGCTATCTTGATAGCAAATCCAGTTCCAAGATCGTGGGATAAAACGCGGGCAACTTTCTGGCTACTCTTTAGTTTCCACTCTCCTGCGAGTTGATGTGCATCGATTCCATGCTTCGAATGCTTTTTAAAATTCATTTTCTCCAACCGTGATTCAGCTTGAATTTCTTCTACGTTGCGCGGAATTGTTGCCTCTCTCTCCTCCCTCTCTCTCGAGCTTTGATTTCACGTAAGAAAAGGTCACGCGGGATTAAAGGTAGATTCGACAAAAAACTTGTTCTTAATCTAATCGAAGAAACGAGGAATCGAATCACAACGAATCGCATTAAATTACTTCTGGCACTAAGACTGAGATGATCGTAACAAGTACAGCGGTTAACGTAACATTTTGATGCCAACGAGAAAAATAATTCTAACCGGAACGTACCGAGTCGAAATTAACGTAGTTTCGACAAAGTTTACGAAAAAAGAAATGATGGAAATTCAATTTTAAACGATAATTAGAAAATTGAGAGAGAAACATGTTTGGACGCTTATTATTTAATTATATATATATATATATATAAATTATTTAATAATTTACACTCTTCATCGTACATCGGGATATTAGTCTCATCCGTGAAATGTATTCTTTTACACTCCAAGTAAAAAAATGAAATAAACTAATCTCTCGCGATTTAGAATGTTGGTACTTCATCGTTTTTCCTTCAGCGTGCACATACGTATTCCAATCGAGTAATAAGTATAATGCGATTCCCTTCCTTATAACCGTGAAATTCTTTTCTTGGAGGAAATTTCTCTCTCCCATATGTTCGGAAATAAGGATAAAATGTCTCGTTATATTTCAAAAGAGAAATAATAATCTTATGACGCGCAGCTTGCACAGCAAATGAAGACTTGTTATTTCCAAGCATATCGATTCACGCACAATATAACGTGTATCCTAGGTATTTTTTCACAAGTCAACGACGATATATCGGTTGTTCGGTATTAAAAGTGCTGAACGGTTGTCGGACACCGGCGCCGAGATATTCCATAAAGTCCGGTTAATTTTTAATCTCGCCCGGCGTATACGCGATTTATAATATTCTGGCCGTTGCAGGATTCTTTTTTTTTTTTTTTTTTTTTTTTTTTTTTTTCGTTTTTTGGTAACTGCGGTGAAAAAGAGGTAAACGAGTGACGATCGAATAAAAGCTTTTGTTTGCGAAGCAAATATTGCCCAGCGATGGGCGAGAGAAAGGGAGAGTTCGGTTTTCAGTCTTGAAAAACGAGACGGTGCTAACGATTCGCGTGTTGTTTCTGAAAATAAATCAATATTCCCAGCCGGCAAATATTTACACAGAGAAATATCATTTTTTCGCGGCTCGTTCTTTATTCTTTGCTCTCGCGACCGATTGATATTCTCCTTATTCGAGGGCGATAGATAAATTATTGGGAGAAGAGTAAACGTGCTTCAATAGATTTCAGTAGCTACCTCAAGATTGAGAGGAGCTATTATTGTAGAATCCTGATATTAATATCATGTTACAATCTCCATTGTACTCTGGCACTCGAATATTTAAATGTTCTACTATTCGATATATCTTGTTGCCCGAAAAGATTATTATACCTCTATAATATATTCTTGTATATTAGTATTATTTTTGTAATATCTATACATAGTCTCCTATCTGAACGAACGGAAAGAAACAAAAGTATTCTGTTAGTGGGACTTCCAGAGAATGGAACTACTTTTCTGATGTTACATTGGATGCAAATTATTTCGAGAGATATTGTATGCAAATGAGGATGAAAAAAATTATCGACTTAGCTCGATATTTAAAAATACTGCATTTTTCTCTACTGCTGGCACTGATTTATTATAGAATCAGATATTATTTTCTCTCAGTTCTTTCTTATTTTTCACCATCTTCTTTTGAGAGTTTTTTTAAAATTTTGCATCACGTTTCAACGTGAATTATTTTTGCAATTGTGAAACGTACATTTTATTTATAGTAAATACGTGTAAAACCTAACACACGAAAAGTCGTCATCTTCGTTAGTATCATCCGCTTTCAGTAAAATCGCGTATATATCTCATATTTTAACAAGTCCTTTCTCGCAGTTACGAGAGAAACGTGCAGCCATGCAAACTTGAATACTTTATTTCGTACCGTAGAACGTTCGAATATCGGAGCGATTGATCGTTACAATATTCAGATGATAGAGGTTCGGGCTTCGCGGGGCTTTTCTATAAATAATTGTATTCCCAGCCGCTGTTTAGCCAACGGAAGTGAAATTTCCATCGGCCAGAACGAAAATGCAATTCCGGCGATTTTATTCAAGTAAAGTAAACACAGCGGGAAGGATCGGCGAGACTCGCAAATGCAGATCAGGCCACCGGCGCGCCCGTGTTTTTCTGTATAATTAATTGCTTACGTTCAGGCAGAATTTATCAGTTAGCCGAACTTCAAATTCTGCCGACGATATTATTGGCAATTATCTGGTAATGGAACCGGTTAGACAATCGATACGAGAGAAACGAATGGGATCGATGTACTCGCAGAAATTCCCACGTTCGCGACAGAGAGAAAGAGAGAAAGAGGGGTGTACGGAGGGGGGAGGGGGAGGGAAGGAGGGGTGGAGGAAGGCAGGCCTCCCTTCAATTTGTTTTCTGGACGTAGCCAGTTGATCTGACGGGTCAAGTGACGTTAATTAGTCAATCGAATTAACCAGACGTTCGACCTCTGGCTGCCAGTTAACTTTATCGGGTGCTGAATCGACGGAATTCTTTCTTGTAGATCGGCCTGAAGAAACTCACGGAGATCTCGCGGGGCAGCGTACGGATCGAGAAGAACCCGGCGTTGTGTTACACCACCACCCTCAACTGGGACTTCATCGTCTCCGCGGGGGAGATTGTGATCAGAGATAACGGGGAGGAGGCGTCTTGTCCCGGTATTTATTGATTTATCGATTGATTGATACTTGTTTCGCCGGTGAGGAATTTCGTTTGATGTTGCGGACCGCTGAAATATGTCCCCCCTTATGAATATATACAATACCCGTTTACATGAACTCCATTTACGTGAAATAAATTTTAATCGATACTTGACTAGACGAAACCCTTGCTGATTCAATCCAGTTATTTACTTCTTTGAACGTGAATCCCCTGTTGTATGGACGAAAAGTTACTGGCAGAGGGCTTCTATTATGGAGTTTTAATCAGTGCCTAATTAGACAAATTCTTGTTTGTTGAAATTATTATTTGAACATAAATTTCTATTATACGAATGAAAAAACACTGGTAGAGAGAGGGCTCCTGTTATAGTAGAACTTTGTTAATATGAACTCCATGAGTTAAATTTTAATCAGTGTCTAATTAGATAAATTCTTGCTTGTTGAATGCTGTTATTATTTGAACGTGAATTCCTACTATATGGACGAAAAAACACTGGTAGAGAGAGGGCTCTTATTATAGTAGAACTTTGTTTATAAATTAAATTAAAAAAGAAATCTATAAGTTAAATTTTGATCAGTGCCTAATTAGACAAATTCTTGCTTATTGAATCTGGTTATTATTTGAACGTGAATTTCTATTATCTGAACGGAAAATCACTGCTAGAGGGAAGCATCAGTGGGCAGCAGGAAAAAAATTACCAACAGAGAGAAGAATCAGTAGACTCCAATTGTACAAACTTGTTGGGTCGATCCATTGATTCTCCCTCAATTAGTGATTTTATATAATAGGAGGTTTAGGTTCAAGCAAGGAGATTCAATCAGCAAGAGTTCACTCAATCGACTATTGACTCAAATAAGTGGGATTTTTTGGAATGAAATTTTGGAATTTAAAAATCAATGGTTCTAGTTAGAACACATACAGTCAATCTCGCAAATGTACAAGCTTCAAATATTTTCACCTTCAATTATGTTTAATTTACAGAAAATGTTTAAAAAAATTCAAACTCCCAAAGTCAAAGTCCACTCATTGTAATGAACGTTCTTTTCTTAATTGTCGTAGATTAAAGTAATACTTTTCGAATCGTATAAGTGCTTAATGGACAAACTGTAGCAATTGAACTCATGACCAGACTTCAAGTACATTTAAGCCCGATCTACACTGTCAATTTGTCCATGGCTCTCGAAGCCACCACATCCCTACTGATTTAAACTCTTTACAATTACTATCGCTTTCGCTAATCTGCCTTTTTCACTATTTTATCTAAAAATAAAGAAATCCACCACATTAAGATACCTGATACCGATAGTCTCAAAGATTTTTCGAAGACTGAATTTTCAATTGTAAAACGGTATGAATATGTATCGCCTGATCTTTTAACGTGCGCGCAATGATACTAGTAATTCATTTTTTTAAATTTACAAAATTTGCGAACAACACGAGTATTAAAAACTTTCTGCTTCGAATTCATATTTTCGAGGATGTAATTAAAAAATAGAAAAAAATCGTAACTATCTAGATCACTTGCTAGAAAGTACTAGATAGAACTCGTAGAAAATATTATAGTTTAGATATTCCATGCAATGTACATTCTACACCGTAAATGCAGAAAAATTCGCAGTCTACTTGTGATGTATAAATAATAAATATTATTATCTAAACCAGTAAAAGTAGAGCGAACAATTTGATCGAATCAAGAGCGAAGCATGAGTGTGGTTCGGACTTAAGTTTCAGGCACTTTCTACAATGTGACGTGCAAGTGTAAGAGTTATTATGAGTGTACGATTCTTTCAACATCGTGTTCGTACGTTAAAGGTACATTGACTCGAGAACCGTACGAAATTACCACATAGCCATGAGTTTAATCGACTAATTCCCCTCTTACAGGATGTTCCCACTGCCCCGAGGGTTACTGCTGGACTTCGCAATATTGTCAGAGAACAGAGAAGCCAAAGTGTCACGATCAGTGTCTGGGCGAGTGTCATGGGTCAACGGAAAGCGAATGTTACGTATGCAAGCATTATCGACACGAGGGGAAGTGCGTGGAAACATGCCCTAGTCATCTGTGAGTGATCTGCAAGCTTTCTTCGAGTCGTCGTCCTTTCGAAATACTCTTGCCATTAATTTCTCAGAGTGAATTCATTTCCTTTTGTAATGCGTAATGCTTTTTATTGGTCGATTTTTATTTGCCAATGTAAAATTGCCGAGCGACTTTGTACACTCCTCTGGAGAAGTTTTGTCATTTTCTGTATTTTTGGAGAATTGCTTCTTCTTGTAGCCGATTTATTGATTTGAAGTAGATTTGCCTGTCCGGTGAGAGATGCGTTAGACTGCGAATTTCTATGCAGATTCCTACTTTTATAAATTTAATTAAACCGTTCCATGTTTCTTTTCAATTGTAATTCTAAGAATCTGATTAAGAGAATTTACTTCGTCCGCTAGGTGTTATAAATATTATAGTTAACTTGTATATTTTTGCACATTTTGTGTTATCGTCCTCGCGATTTTAAATTTTCCACAAGTATGTAAAATTCCACTGTTTAGCTACGAAACAATTAAACTCATATAACAGCAATCGCGAAGTGATTAAACTGTTTCTCGACCAATCTATATCGGTTATTTAAACCGAATTGAAGATTTCTTCGTTAAACTGTGCAAAAATACACAGGACGTTAATGGTTACGACGTTTATTACGTAAAACAATTTTTTTCCTCCCCCAAAATTCCATTTTTCCTCGTTTTATTATTTCTGTGAAAACATAAAAATTCGCGAAATCACAACTCGTCGTGCGTTACCCAAGAACAACATCGACCCCAAAGATTGTTTTCTTCGGTTACTGCAATCTGCTGCATCTCCCGATCTGTTATCGGGAAGTTTCTCTCGAGTCTCCTCTCTTCCAACTGTCAAGCAAACGCGCTTCTTCGACAGGGGAGCGGAAATCGGTCGTCGTGCTTTCTGTTTTTGATTGTCTCGCGGTGACCTTGAGCCACCAGCTGATTCCAGGCGAGTTATTTGCAGCTGCCATAAACGCGACACCGTCTATCTGTTTCACAGATACTCCTATCTCTCGAGACGCTGCGTCACGAAAGATGAATGTGTAGGATTGAACCGTCTGAGGCGGGTATATTCCGTTCTTGATGATGATCAGGCGTGGAGACCGTTCAATGGATCCTGCGTGACTCATTGCCCCGACGGCTACGAGGATGCACTCGACGAGAACAATGTACGTACGATGTTTCCGCTTTCTGTTTTTCGACCTCCCCTTTCGATCCTAGATACGATTAACCCCCCACAGCGGAGTTCCTTGACCTCTCGATCACCACCACTCGATCCTCCTTCAATTCCTTCGGGACGATATTGAGACGATACGTCTCAATGCAGCTCGCCGTGTACTGTACTACGACGTATCGTTTTTATATCGATGCAATTCGGAGCGCGCTTCACTCTCATTTGTGCCCGGGATATGTTTACGAGATGTCTGTTCGAAAGTCTACGTGAGAATTGGATATTGAGATGCGCCGAGAACTCGTGTGTTACCTTTATATGTTATTTAACGCTAGAACTACCAAGATGTCGAAACGACCAATTTATAATTTTTGTAGACACGAAACGGTGCATTTTTAGAGATTCTAACGATTCTTATAAAATATATAAATAACGAAGGCTTGTGCAAGTTATAAGTCACTGCAAACTACTTTTCTATTTTTTTATCTTTTTTTATCTCTTTAATCTCTTGCGCTGGAATGTCGTGTGCCACCCACGTCGAGAATTTTTCGTCCCGAATTGCAACATTTTCTCAGTTTTATGTATATTTAAATGTAAGCCAGGCGAAACAAATGATAAATTTATTACTTCCTAATAGTTTTCTATCCAATGATATCATACCGACGAGTTCAAAAGAAAAAGAAAAAGAAAAAGAAAGCGACGAATTATTGTATACGGTTCAGTCACTCGTTATGGTCCGCGAACTAGTTGCCAGCGCAAGAGGTTAATGTCTCTGGTGGAAAATTTTATGCTTCAATCGGTAGTAGTTCTAGTAGTTGACTCTCAGTCGTTCCTTGTGTCAGTTCGACACATTTTTTGTTTAGAAAGTGAAAATACTATTTTCGATGACAAAATATGCCACCAGATATCGCAAATGATATTCGTTTTCAAGTCCACTGACAGACAGTGTATCGATTTCCAATTGTGATTACGCGTTCAATGCATCACTTTTTCGAAGATAAAGTAATGTATGCGCAAGCGTCTATAGCTTTGAATATGGTTGTAACAATTTGAAATTCAAAACGGACGATCGTAACATTGATGATCACGATGATCGTAATAAAATCAAAGAGGAGGAGATCGTGATACAAGATTGAACATCTGCACGCGAGGGTAGAATTGGAGGTGTGAATCTTATACGCGATTCAATATAGAAATTTAGCCTGTTCATTGCTAGTGAAAGAATTTGAAAATTTTTATCCATTAATCTTTTACAATTTAATACCAAGGAACAAATTAAACATAAACTTTACCAACGTATCTGAAGCCTGTTGCCTGCCTACGCGCGATATATACTATAAAAGACTGATGAGACTTTTGAAAATATTCCAAACCTAATATTTCTCGCGATATATCAGTATATTACAATACATTCTTGCGTTTATTTTTGGAGAAAAGACATCCGCAAACGAGCTCAATTAATTAGTAATCTTTTCCTGTCATAAATAAATGGAATTCCGGTTATAGAGGGTTAATTACCGACGTAATGTACCGACGTTCCATCAAGATTCGCGATTAAAAGAGGAGAGAAACGGGGAAAGAGATAGACGATCACATTGAATACCTTGCTTCATACTTAATTCAACACTCGACGAAGGGGGGGGGGGAAGAGAGACGGAGAACGTTCATTATCGCAGAACGCATGCAAGTGTTAAAATGCTAAATCAGCAATTATAGAACGACAGGATCTCCGTTCTACTCGAAGAGACTGACGGTGGTAATAATTGGCAACTGCAGAACGACTAAAGATGGTCGAAATACCAACAAACTACGGATGTAATAACATTTTAACGTCTGACGCGGGATATGATTTATGAGATTATTTTGAGATTCTTTTTACGCGGTTAATTATTCTTATGCAGCTACAGCTTGCAGATGGTCGCATATGTAGAATTTTTGTTGATAGAAAATTTTTTTTGGTAGAAAATTTTAGGTCAGTCTTTGAATTTGCGTTGATCTAAAAGAATATTAATTTAAGCGACTGTTATTAACGTAGATTATTATATTAATTTGGTTTGTTGGTGATGTTAATTAGAATGAGAGATCAGAATTACTGTAGAGTTCTGGTTTGAATTAGATTGATATCGGGCCGATATTAATTTTCCATTTAGTTCGTGTGTTATAACTTTGATCAATACTAATCTGATTGCAACTTGCACCGATCTACAAACTCAATCTCCAAGACATTGTCCCGCGTTAAAAGCCAGATATAAATTAAATTAATTTAAATCAAATCGGTGTTTACTTGGACTACTACCGATTAAAATTTATATTAATTTTTTCTGTCACGAAATATATCTTTGTGCCGTTTAAACAAAGTTGACGCAACGTTGGCCTTTAAACTTTGCTTGCATCGAGCAATGTAACTGAACTTTAAGTTATTCAAACGACGCACATTGTCAACCAAATTGAAACGGTCAACCAAAATTGAATTCGTCTACTTTTGATTGAACGATCTGATTTTGATACGATTTTGACCTGCAGTTGCCTGGTACTAACGCAGTTTTAACCGATTGAAACTCTGACATCGAACATTTTTTTCTCTCTGTCTCTCTGTCTCTCTCTTTCTCTCTTCTTTTACAAATAACAGCTATGAATGAAGATTTCCCCTATTTTTAGCAACACATTCCATTCACAATATTTCATTCGACTTGCAGACGACCACGTGTCGCGCTTGCGTGAACAGCTGCCGGAAGGTCAGCCACGGCGCTTTGATACGTCACATCTCCGACGCGCAGAGTTTCCGTGGTATAACCGTGGTGAAAGGCGCGCTGGAGTTCCAGATACGAAACGGAAATCCCAACATAATGAACGAGCTGAGCGAGGCGTTCGGCCGGGTCGAAGAAATCACCGAATACGTCAAGATCAGCCACTCGTTCCCAATCACTTCGTTGAACTTCTTCAAGAAGCTGAAGGTGATCAAGGGTGAGAAACTGGACACCAATAACGCCAGCCTGTCGGTACTCGACAATCCCAACCTCTCGAGTCTGTTCCCACCAGGACAAGAGATCAAGATCGAGAAAGGCCGGCTGTTCTTCCATTACAACCCGAAACTCTGCCTGTCCAAGATCATACAGTTCAGCCAGATGGTGAACATCACCAACTACACCGACCTCGAGATACAGCCACAGTCGAACGGCGAGAAGGTAGCTTGCGACATAGTGAACATAAACATCACGGTGAAAAATCTGGGGCCCGATTACGCGGATTTAATGTGGGACAGTTACGAGCCACCGGAGGGGCAGAAATTGCTCAGTTATCTGTTGAACTACATCGAGACGGAGAATCAGAATATCACGTACGAGATGAACGCTTGCGGGGGCAACAACACTTGGCAGATTGTTGACGTAGATATTCCGAAATGGAACACCACGGTGTCGAAGCATATCAGCAGCCTGAAGCCGTACACCAAGTACGCCGTATACGTGAAGACGCTCAACGCCAGATCGAGCAAATTCGTGGAACCGGTTGGCCAATCGAGGATCATATTCTTCAGGACGAGGAGCACCATTCCGTCGCCACCGATGAACGTGGTATCTATGCCCCTGAGCGACACCGAGATTCTAGTCAAATGGGAGCCACCGTTGTTCCCAAATGGACCAATAGGATACTACATGGTATCCAGCGTCGTCATCTACGAAGACGATAGCTTAATCTTCACGAGGGATTACTGCAACGATACGCTGGAGAACGAGTTGGAGTCTGGCCAACTGGTGCCTGACGTAACCGTGAAGACGCCAGTGGCGAATCGGCTTTCGTGTTGCTCGAAGAACGCGAACGGTTATGTCGTCACGTCGAAGAAGTTCGAGATCTTTTGCCACGAGAACACGACCATCAGCTACATATCACCCGGTTGGAAGGACTACTGCGTGTACAATACGTACAACAACAACGTGGACGATCAGTTCTACGAACTGACCAACAATCTGTCCACACCTCGACCGGAGGACGAGGAAGAAGAGGAGGCGGAGGAGGAAGAAGAAGAGGTAGAGACCGACACGTTCAAATCCAAAGGGCCGAACGTGATGGACAAGCACGCGCTCACGTACAACGTGAGCGATCGGAACAAGTTCGTGATCAAGAATCTTCGTCACTACACGCGCTACATCATCAGCATAGCGGCGTGCGGCGTCAAGATCAACAAGTCGAACCTGTGCTCGTCGATTCAGTACACGTTCGCCAGGACGAAGAGGCGGGTTCGCGCGGACGACGTGAAAAACGTAAAGGTTCAGGTGACCAACAACACCATCGTCGAGGTATCTTGGGATTCGGTGAAGGACCCGAATGCCATCACCGTCTCCTACACGATCGAGTACACCAACCTGGACGTGAAAGACGCGAAGAAGAGCACCGAGTGTATCCCGCGAACCGGCCGGAAAGACAGATTGTCAACGGTGAACAGTTACTTCATCAAGAACCTGAGTCCTGGAAAGTACAGTCTACGAGTGAGGTCCACGTCGCTGGCTGGCGATGGCAGTTTCTCGAACGTCGTGTACTTCTCCATAGGCCTGAGCAACGCCGCCCCGATCACGTTAATAGCGTCGATCACGGCCGTTATTCTGTTGGTGATACTGACCGTTCTGTTCGCCTCGTTGAGATACTATCAGAAGAAGAAGAAGCAGGAGAGGCTGATCGCCAGCGTGAACCCCGATTACATAGAGACCAAATACGTGATCGACGAGTGGGAGGTGCCTAGAGAGAGCGTGGAGATCTTGGAGGAGCTTGGTTTGGGCAATTTCGGGATGGTGTACAGAGGTGTGTACGACAAGAACACGCCGGTGGCCATCAAGACCATCTCGAAGACGGCCAGTCCCAGGGAGAAGAACGAATTCCTGAACGAAGCCTCGGTAATGAAGAACTTCTCGACTTTTCACATAATCAAATTGATCGGCGTGGTGTCCATCGAGAATCCCCCGTTCGTCGTCATGGAACTGATGGAGAACGGAGATTTAAAGACCTATCTGCGGCGAATTCGCGACACCCATCTGGTGCCCGATGCTTGCAGGATCATGAGAATGGCGGCCGAGATAGCCGACGGTATGGCCTACTTGGAGTCGAAGAAGTACGTTCATCGAGACTTGGCCGCGCGAAACTGCATGGTGTCCAAGGACCTGGTGTGCAAGATCGGGGATTTCGGGATGGCCAGGGACGTGTACGAGACGGACTACTACAAAATCGGGAGGAAAGGCCTCCTCCCGATCAGATGGATGGCACCGGAGAACCTGTCGGACGGTGTGTTCACGTCGGACTCGGACGTCTGGTCGTTCGGCGTTGTACTCTACGAGATTCTAACCCTCGCGGAGATTCCTTATCAGGGTTTCTCCAACGAGGAAGTGCTCAGCCATGTATTGCACAAAGGGACCCTGAACATACCGCGCAACTGTCCCGAGAACATTCAAAAGATCATGGAGAAGTGCTTCAAATGGCGGCCGAGCGATCGTCCGACGTTTATGGAGATCGTGTCGGAGCTCGAGCCGTTCCTCGGCCAAGATTTCTACGAGAAGTCGTTTTACCATTCGACCGAGGGCGTGGAGAGCCGGAACTCGGGCATAAAGAAGCCGTATCATCACGCGGCGCCTATCAGGTTCCACTGGGCGAACGAGACGGCCAGATGGGTGAAAGAGTTCGAGGACAACGTGACGCTGTTGGATCAGACGAAGGCTGGCACTAGCAGAGGACGCATCTTTAAAAACGGCTTCCAGCATTTCGGTAATGTAGCCAACATGGAAGACGTGCCCCTCGATCGATGAGGTTCTAGGGTCGGTCTCTAGCGAATTTCGCGATGGTGTACGCACGTTCCTCCGGGACAAGTCCCCGGCAAGTCAAAAAACTCGTTTAGATACGATGTACAAAGGATACTCAGGGCAATGAATCGCGAACGAGGGCCCAACGAGTTCGATAGACGGGGATAGGCAAGGATCTTTTTATCTTTTTTCTTTTTTTTTCTTTTTCTTTTTTTTTTTTTGTTTTTTTCTTTTTTGTTTCTTGCCAATCTGACGAGTTCACGACGACACGTGAAAGAATGAAAGAAAAAAAAGAAAAAAAAGAAAAAAAAGAAAAAGAAACTCGTTTGTCGGTGCTCGTTGATTTTTTCGATTAGGACCTTGATAGCGACGAGCGACTAAGAAGATCTAAGAAGATCGCAGTGCGAATACGTACTTCATTTCGCGCCGAACGAAAGCAGTATGCGTAAGCCTAATCTAAAGACATAGTCCAGCGAGACGCAGTGTTCTTTTTTCCTCTTTGTTTTGTTTTTTTTTTTTTTTTTTCTCTCTCCTAGAAAGCGCAACCAAAAGCTCTTAGCCATGCAAGCCTGCGAACTTTGTTCATTCCTCGAAAGGATTGTTTCGTCCTTTCGCGCGGACATTTCGTCGTTTCCTCTTTCTTTCTTATTCTTATTCTTCTTCTTCTTCTACGTTCTCTCTCTTAGATTAGTGGTAGATAGTGTTTTAGTCATGCGTTTTTTTTTTTTTTTTTTTTCTTTTCGTTAATTTGTAGCCTCGTACTGTTTAAAGAACTGATTAACTATACGCGTTAAAACACAAAGTCAGAGTTCTCGCAAGTGCAGCGAGCTCTTTGTTGCTCGACGTTCGTCGTGCTTTCGACTTCAAAACTGCCGTATTTAAACTTTCGAAGTTTGGTGCTCGCTCAAGATAAAACCATCAAGGTAAAACGCGTTACTTATCGTTAGCTATTGAACTGAGAAAAATTGAGTGTAGAACTCTGTTTGTATGGCCGCCATTTGTTCGAGACGGACGCTTATTTGAAACTCCTATCGTACGAAAGCTCGCCAATGAAGGGGAAAGAACCGGCGAAAATACCGCGCCGTGCTCCTTCCCCGCGGCAAGTTTATATAAATGAAGTTCTACCGTGGAAAGAAAAGGCTTTTAAGAACCACCGGGAGGAAAATGTTTGCCTACAGATCGCAATAATTTATCTTGAGGAGACGTCTGAACGACAGAAACTACCGAGCAACAATGAACTTGCTGTTTTTCGCGAAGAAGCAAGCGGAAGAAGACACGCTCACGTTGTAGGTGTTTTTCGTCGTTGACAAAAAAAGTTCGCAAAACGACGGTTCGATCAAATGTTCGAAGCTTATCGGATCGTATTTGTCGTGCTCCGTTTGCCAAGTTGAACTCGATGGATCAGGATTTACACGTACGTATACATATCTATCGACATTCTATCAAAGAGAGGAAGACTAGCAATACTGCGAATTAAAGAAAAGAAAAAAAAAAAACGAAAGAAAGAAAGGAATCCTCTTTCTCACACCGTTGCAATATCTTTAGGACGACTTCAAATTAGGCAGAGTTCGTTACCCACTTTTGTACGAACAACTTGTGTCAGTTTCACCGAGAGAATGCGGACTGGAAGGAAAAGTTCCGCTATATTTGAATTCCGCGGGGGTATCGCGGTGCAGCCGGAGAATTTTATCAAAAGTTGACGCTACAGTGTTAAACTATCGATTACATATATACGTAAACGTACGTAATACATATATATATATATATATATATATATATATTGATTAATTAATATGTATATAATACGCTTTGGAACTTTCTTTTCGGAATGTAAACATTCTCGAAACAGGAGGCAGAAGATTCAAAGACACGTACCGATAGTTTTTCTAACGGAACGAGCGACATCTACTTTTGCTAAAATCTTATGAAATTTAGGCAAATTGGGCGTACGCCGATCAATGTACGTTTAATAAATTTCTACACTGACAATGGAAACAAAAGAGCGACAGGTTAGAAGACTGCTACTAATTGTCCAATGAGTGAACAATTTACTTTTTGCTAAAATTTCGTAAAATCCGCGTAAGTGTACACGCATAGGTTAAATCGATATATACTTTTTTACCAGATTCTATAGCTTTGTTATCGTGACGATTAAGATTCTCTAGCGGGCCGATAACGTTTCTAAAGCTTGTCTCAAATCTCACCAACATACATTGATCAACCCGTTAAACCTTGAACCTCTGTATCCTCTTTGTGTCTTCGATCTTTTTTGAAAATTGTAAAAAAAAAGACTTCAATCGAGAGAGAGAGAGAGAGAGAGAGAGTCTCTTACGCAATCTAGATCGTACGAAACAACATTCTCTCTTGCTCAACGCTGCGTAAAAATGAAATCACGCGAGTGTTCGTGCAATCCACTGTAATCACTTCCGTTCCTCCCTTCTTCCCGTGTTTTTCTAAGCCGCCGCTATTGCTCCCTCCCCACCCCCACCCCCGCACCCGCTGAAAAAACTTCCCAATTCATCCCTACGATCCCTGCGATCCCTGCGTATTCCATTAAAGGAAGAACGATCGAAAAATAGAGAAGCAAGCAGCTGCACCGCGATGCACCGCCGCTCCATTTCGTCCACGAATCGATCCCAGACTGTGTTCATAGGACAGAGTCGACCGGAAGCCCGACAGAAAGAAAGAGAGAGAGATACCGAGGCAGGAGAATGAATATAGCGAAAAGGGGAGTGGGTGGATGGATGGGGGAGGGAGGGAGGGAGGGTGACTTAGGCGATCGTCGAGCACTCGACGAGAATCCATAGGACAGGCATATACGTACACACACACGGGTACATAATAATACACATACTTATATACATAAACAGAGTTCCTTATTGAAATATACGCGTATACGAATTGCACGAGAGACGCAATGTGTGCGTAGCCTTGAAGCGTTGTACATATATTTTATTGGCGGCGGAGGATGATAGTCTGCTTCCGGGAGAAGGCGCGCGCGTGCTAAACAGGGCGCGTTTCCGTCGTGCAACCTACGTATTCGTTGCTCCAGACGAGAAAAAGAAAGAAAGGAAAAAAAAAAAGGAAGAAAAGGGAAAAAAAAAGTTGAAAGAACACTTGCAATAAGCATGCCAACAATCTTCTTGCAATAAGTACTGAACGTAAATTAAATGTATACAGAATAACAGATAGTTAAGCGTGTATAGCGTGCTTAGGTAAAATGCAGAGGGAATCTAAGGGACAGAAAAAAAAAACAAAAAAAAACAAAAAAAACAAAAACAAGAGTATATCTCTATTTTATTGT